TGTGGAGGCCACAACCAGCGCACAGGCGAGGTGGCCGCTACAGCAGCCTGGAACAGCGAACAGCTGGTGTGGAGGCCACAACCATTGTTCAGGGAGCAGGGTGGCCTTCCCTGTGCCTTCTGACATAAACTCTGGCGTTCCAGACGTGTCGATCAGTCATGGCATGGGCCTGCATAAGGAGCGGCTCTGCGACACGGATGCCACAGCAGTAACACCAGAGCTGGTCCGGCGAGAAGAGGCTGGGCAGCGCCCTTCTCTCACTGCCATTGCCAGAAGCAGGTGCCCCGCCAGTGCCCTCACGCAGCAGGAGAGTTTGCACACCAGCTGGCAGCACTGAGCCCAGGGTGGCTGTGTGCGTCAGGGCTACGCTGGGCGTGGAGTGGAGCGAAGCGTGCTCCAGCCTTGGTGCGTCGGCCCTCTCGCGCGCCCTGGAGACCACGGCACCAACCGTCTGGGTGGCATTCATAGCCATGCGGAGGACTTAAGGTGCGAGCCGACTTGGCAGGAGACGTCCAGCCTGTACAGGCGTGGTTCGGGTTCAGGGGGCGCCTCGCACCGCCCTGCACCCCTACCTGGAGTGGGTGCCTCTGCACGGCCTACTGGTTCGGGCTCGGCTTCCTCAGCGCCCAGGTTGTCCGCAGGGCTCGTGGGGCTCATTGCCAGCAGGAACCGCTACAGGGTTCTCTTGCAGTGCTGGCGCAGGGCTTGCACGAGGTGTGGTGACCACAACCTCCGTCGGAGTGGGGGCACCCCGGGTTAAGTCCGAGGACTCCTGGGCTCTGGACGTGGAGGTTGACTTCGCCAACACCTTGCTCCGGCTCCGCGTGGTGGTGTCCGGCAGCAACAAGGCTAAGGAAGTCCTCAAAAAGGTGCGGTCTCGGACGGGCTACGCTCTGTCGAGCTTGTCGCTGGTCCCAGGGGCACTCCTTTGCCACCTGAGGACCCCCTGCCTCCACGTGCAGGAGGGCACCAGCTTGCTCCACGCCACAGCGTCGCCGCAGGAGGCGACTCCGGTTGAATACCAGGGGCCTCCCATCGTCTCGCCAGATCTTCGCTTCTGCATGGCATGCCGCGTCCGCACCGCGACGCTGGAGCACATGCAAGCCCACATGATGACAAGCGAGCACGTGGCCCGTGTGGCCGAGTACGTCACGGCCTTCATGGACTTGGAGTCCTAAGAGGGCCAGGAAGGCCCTGCCTCCTGCGGCCACTGGGACGTGTTTCACTCCCCGAGGCTAGTAGAAGAGGACGACATTTTTCAATCGTGATTGAT